AGGCGTTTTGCCCTCAAGGCGTTCAATGGGAAAAAGGGCTGTCGCGTCGTCCATATTTTTTACAGTCATTGATATGGGTAGTGTAACCTCGTACCTGCAATACGCTTATCTTACAATAATGTTTAACACTTGTGTGCACCGACTGCCATCTTCGAACAACGACCCAAGCACCAACACCATCAGTGGTGGGAAAAATGGTGGGGGTAGGCCAGTTAAAGGGCCATGAAACCCCCTCGTTTCAGCAGGGTGTTTTCACACCTCTACTTTGGAAAAAGTCAGAAAAGTGGGCATGTCCAGCTCTGTTTAGGGGGGAGTGTCGGAGGAACTAAAGTGGGAGGGTGTGTGGAGTGTCTATTTGGCCTCGCGTGAGTTTCAGAGTCAAAATAAACACACAGGAGAAAGTGATGGCGTTTAACCTACATGGACATCTGTAGTCGAATTATTTGCCAAATTATTAAATGTTGGACTTTAACAGCAGTTTGGCTCTTTCATTCAGGGAATTCATTCATGCCCCTCGCGACAAACGAGATATTTGATTCGAGGAACTGCTCTAAGCGTGTATTTTTCATGCAATGTTTGATACCGCACGGCAAATGAGAGAAAAAAAACCTCCGCATTTCCCGGAAACATAGATGCACACAGCAGGCAGCGTCAGAAAGCCGCGTGTGTTATTCCGGTCACAAAATGCGGTGAAAACCCTACACGAGGTTAAAGTTTGGTTGTGGTGCTAACATGTTTGTACTCGGTGCAATAGTTACCTTAGTTCGATACGAACAAACTGAATAAACAAAGAGCACTGGTCGCTCACTTACCAAATCTGTAGAGACAGGACAATCCCCAGCCACTAGAGCTGCGTCTTTATTAGGAGAATACTACAAGCGAATCCAGATCTCAGCGTTTGCAGATGAGAACAGCTCTCAGGTAAACAATGTTCCTCCTTAGACACGCAAGTTATTGTTGTTGAGCGTCGTGTACACTGTTAATCCACACGTGACTCCAGATGAGCTCTCACAGAGAGAAAATGAAAACAAAACTTAACTGCAGCAAACAATAAAAGCAACTCTACATGCTTGTTTTGCCAACACATCGTGGCGTCTCTGTCGTGTAAACACGGTGACAGTAATGAATATTAATGAAGTTGCACAATAGAGCGTGCTGACTGGTTTGAACCAAGCCTTACTCATGCATTAATGCATCACACTGTAAGACGTAATAAGACACACTCTGGCACAGACGTCCAGTCTGCACGCTGGAATACACACTATTATGTCATGGCCGTGACGCAGCTTCAAAAATTCGTTTCAAACCGGAAGTACGAATTTACTTGAAATAACGCAAAAACAAGCAATTTACACTTTTTAGTGAAATATAGGTGTCCTAAAAGTGTTTTTAGCAGTGTGGGACACATATACGACTGTCAACAGCTCAAAAAATGTGTTTTGGTGTTTCGTGACCCTTTAAATATGCCACACGGCAACTCAGCATTTTATCTGCCTAGACACAAAGTAGCAATCATTTCATAATTTGACGATCAATTTTAAGCATTCTATAGAATGCCAAATTTCACACATTATCACTTATATATATACACTACATACTCAGGGTTTCAGCAAGTCAAATTTAAGACTTGAAAGACATTTTAAAACTATTATGAATGAAATTTCAGACTTATACAGTGCTCAATGCTGAGGACTTTTTTAAATGGTCTGCTGTACCAGTGGGAAAGATTTTTACTTCCCCCATCAAAAAATATATGTAATTTAATTATTACTTAGCCATGTATTTTCAATAACATAAATGCAAACAACTACTAGTAGTTTAGTATACATACACTTATTCTCAAACACATATTTTTTTTTATAACAAGTCTTCAAAACAAATAAACTTCCCAACAGTCTGTAAAGGTCAATGTCCTCACCAGGTGGCTATTAAAATATCTTAAATGTTATTGTGAGGAAGATAATTAAACCGTATGTTAAATGTTTTATTGAGATGGATTGTTGATGATTGGATAGGTGTTTGCCCAACTGAGTTTCCTTACATGGAAACAGGAAAATTAAAACCTGGTTAAAATAATTTAAGACCTACAACACAATATTTCAGTCAATTTAAGACTTTTTAAGATCTTGTTTTTGAAATGTATTTTAGTACTTTTAAGACCCCACAAACACACTGATATTGGTCCATTCACCATAAATGTAAAATCCCACATAAATGTTGCCCATTTGACTTATTAGCCATATTCAAGACTTCTGAAATTACATGTGATGCTTCATTTAACGTCAGATTCAATTTATGAATCCAATGAAGGCCATTTTACCATAAATTATACTTTTGTTTCGTTTATCATCAATTATGGTTTATAAATCCATACAAATGACAAGGATATGTTTTTCATAAATATAAAAATCAGAAGTGACCAAAATTGTACTCATTTGTCTTTTTATTGAAAGATCTTGCAATATCAATAAAAACAATAAAGAGAAATAATCCTGTAACAGCTGAACTCATATGACCCTTCATGGAACGTATTGAAATTTTGTGGAGGGAAAAAAGTAAACAACACCAACAATAATAATAAAAGAAAGTCGATACATATAAATGAGGAAAGGAGTTGTTTGTAAACATACTGTACATTTTTTGGGGATATAATGTCTTCATGCGAAATTAGTGCGAACAACACAAAGAGCATGTATTACTTATTTCACACCTAGTGGTCATCTTTACAATGGACTATTTACATAAAGCACATACTGCAAAGTTCATGTCTCGCATAAGTGTAAATAAAGGAAAGCATAATCCAGCCTAATGCTATTAAGCCAAATATTGAGCACCAAATGGTTCACAGGTTAACATGAAGCTAATATGCTAATAGCTTGACGCGGTTGTAACATAATGTTTAAGGCAATCATTCACTTGTTTAAATTGTCACAAACAAGGCCAACTTCTTATAAACATCAGATTCTTTAAAAGAGCTTTTTCAGACCACACACAGCTTCTGAGATCATCTAATCTGCTCAAAACATTTAGAGTAGCTACAACTGCTACACAGGAAACAACTCTAAAAATGTTAAATAATTCCAGTTCTAGATTGTATTTGTTTTAGTGATGGCAATTCCAACTCACTAAGCTCTACCAGGGAGCATTAGCATTGATGCTGCATTAATGTAGGACAGCTCCTGTAAATATGTATTCCAAAACATGCACATAGAGCAACAAAAACCTCTGAAAGATTAAATACAATAGCTGTACAGAGCTGAAAAGCTTCAGAAATATAAAAATGGTATAAACAGGTTCTTTGACGAATAGCATGCTTGCTAGCCTAGTGCATGAGCTTAAATAAAATGTCATGTTATCTACAGACTAAAGGCCAAAGTATACTTTTTTATGCATCGGCTAAGGTATGCACTCAGATGCTCATGTTGTGTCAAATATACACATACAGTACATCCGCATACAATCAGTGTTCTCATATATATGTTTTGGATTGTTTGCTTGTTGTAATGCACAGAACTTATGGCCACTGATAATAATACAAGCCAAAAACATATCGTGTATTTACTGGAATCTCTGTGTTATGTGGATATGGTGTCCCTCTGGTATTTTGTTTATGATTATTGATTATATGTGATTCTGGACCACAAAACTAGTCTTATGTTGAACTAGTTTATTGTTGGCAAAAGTCAAATTACATTGTTTGGGTCAAAAATTGATTTTTTATTTTATGCCAAAAATTGATTCGAATATTATGTAAAAATCAAGATCCATTAATATATTTTTTATCAATTGAAAACTGTAAATATATCAAAACTCATTTTGTGATTAGTAATCTGCATTGCTAAGTCCAACTTAAAGAGGAATTTCTTAGTAATTTGATTAAATCAGATTCCAAATTTTAAACTGTTTTATATTTTTTGATCCTAACAAAGTATGCATCAGTGTAAAGCTGATTTATTCAGCATTCAGATGATTTAACATTTTTTAAAAGTTACAATTATGACTGAGGGTGACACGGTGGCTCAATGGTTAGCACTGTCGCCTCACAGAAAGAATGTCGCTGGTTCGAGTCCCAATTGGCATTTCTGTGTGGAGTTTGCATGTTCTCCTTGGGGTGGGTTTCCTCTGGGAGCTCCTGTTTCCTCTATACCCTCCAAACATGCACTGTAGGTGAATTGATGGACTAAATTGGCTGTAGTGTATGAGTGTAAATTTAAGAGTGTATGGGTGTTTCTCAGTACTAGGTTGCATCTGCTATGTAAAATATATGCTTCATAGGTTGGCGGTTCATTCCACTGTGGTGACTACTGATAAAAAAAGGGACTAAATTGAAGAAAAAAGAAAAAATTTATGAATTATGACTGATTTTGTGGTCCAGGGTAACAGAACAAATGTAAAGTTGTTCAATACTTTACTGTATGAAATTAATAGAGAATAAATTTACATAAAAATCAGTCTAGATAAAAAAATACTAAATTTCTGTTTAAATTTATGAAATGAAATAGCCTAAAATTAAAATAATCAATTTATATTCATTCTTTTTTTGAATGTGTAATTTTCCATTTGGGCTTCCGGCCAGATGCATCCTAAAACTGCATGTACATGTACAAAAACAAACAGATAGAGATGAAAAAAGTATACTTTGGGTTTTAAGCACCATTTAAAATTGTACCAAACTGTGATAAAGCAAAAAATACCTACACTTTCATCATTGCTGTGAGCTTTACAGTCTTGTATGGCAGTTTCGGTTAAAATGTTGTGGTCCTGGCTTCGCCTGTTCATTTCAGATCTTTGCAAAAACATTTACAGGAAATGGCAGTCATATGCTTTTCCTTGAATGCTAGAATGGGAAGATTCCTAGTAAGTAGCATTCATTACTACCTGAGGAGCCGAAAGATAGGAACATTTAGGAATGTTGCTGACTTATTTGGAAATATTGTTTTGGTGCAGTCTCGTAAGAAACCTATGAGGGTGCTTCAAAAAACTAAACAAAACCAAAATCGTTATCAAATCCTCTCATTCGAGTACATTTATTCACATATATATACACAGGAATAACCTTTTGCACATTCGTTTTTCAGCTGGTTTTTATCACGAGTGCAACCATGATCCTACTATAATCAGACCAGTTATTCATATTGAATAAATTCTTGTTACTTTAGAGAAACACCCTCGTAGTGAAACATATCAACTATAAAACACATTTGAAAAAGGTCGACAAACAAAATCACGGATGTTTTTTTTTTTTTTTTTTTTTTTTTTTGGATTTGCATAGAATTCTTCAGCTACCAAAAGAAAAGCGTAAAAAGCGTAAAAAGACACTTACAGGTGATGTGTGAGCCTGAGCAATGCTTTGTTTTGCAACACCTTCATGTGGTTTTGGTGGAAAAGAAATGAGAGCCCTACCTCAGTATGGGAGCAACCGCAACATGATTTCTGTAACAAATCTCCATGAAAACAAATCTAAAGACGTAGAACATAAGCAGCCTTTGAGAAATCAAAAGCCTTTAACTTATTAAAAAAAACGTAAAAACTCACTCGCTCTCTCACACACACAGTAGTTGTAGCCAGACAGTGGTGATACTGGATTATGGCCGAAAGGTTTCTAAGCTTGAAATCTCTGTGGGAAGAGCATCGGAACCACCAGGGTCCACATGTAGAAAAATAAACACACCCAGCTGGAGGCCATCTTGATCCAGAACACAGACCAGCTTCCCTCTAGAAGCCTCTCGATCTTTGCGTTGTCATAACTGCAGACAGAGATGATTATAGGAATATTAATATTTATGCAGAGTGACATTGTTCCTCAAAACTGCATACTGGGCTTCTATTTGGTCACAGGAAATTAAAGGTAAATTAAGAGTACTTTAATTTATTTATTATTATTATTGCAACATCAGCAACTTAAGGCTATTTCACGGCCAAATGGATGTACATAAAAATATTACATGATAAAAACAAATTAGTTTTACAATAAAAAAGTTACTTAGACAAACACATAAGAAATTCAAAGGTAAATATGATTTTTCAGCTCAATTTTTGATGAATAATTTAAGATTCTTCGTGGTGGTACATTTTTAAAAATATCCATCGAAGTACGCTCCTTATGAAAATTTTGTCAAAAGGTATTCAAACTTCCACATTCCGACAAAATATGTTTGATGGTAAGAGCAGCTTGGCAGTAATTACATTTAGGTGGTGCTTTGTTATTCAGTAAATACAAATGAGTCAACCTAGAATGTCTAATTCGACATATAGTATAGAGGGTTTGCTCATGCCTGGTCTCAAAATTATAGTTTGCAAAATGCCTTTCATTTATTTTCGGGTTAATTTCATATTTATGCAGTTGTCCTATTTCCTTTGCCATGTTTCGTTCATATACAAATTTACTGTAGGTTTCAAGTCCTAATGCGGAATTAAACATTTTGTCTATTTCAAGGAGCCTGTTTTGCTGCTTCATTTGCCAGTTTGTTTCCATGCAGACCCATATGCCTTGGAATCCAACAGAAGATAATGTCGAACTGCTTATTTTCTAGCGTTGTCATTTTCTTCTCAATCATGGAAATTATGGAGTAATTACACTTAGAAGCTTTAAGTGCTTGAAGACAGGATTTAAAATCTGTGCAGATTATAAAGTTACGGTTCTGTGTCTTTTCCATTTGCTCTAAAGCCATATTTATTGAAATTTAAGAATACAATTAAAGGAAACAACCTCATTTTACAAGTCACCTAGAGTTTAACAGTTCAGCTTGACCATTTTTTAATCTATTCAGCCAATCTCGGGGTCTACCGGAAGCACTTTTCGTGTAGCTTTTCATAAAATATTGAATCAGACCAATAGCATCTCGCTCGAAAATGTCAAAAAAGATTTTCCTGTTTAAAATCTTGACTATTCTGTAGTACTAAGACAAACGTAAAATGAAAAGTATAGTTAGGAACTATAGGAAATAAAGAAACTTTAGGCACAATGGTATTACGGAGTGTCTGAAAGTATTCCTCAGCTAGGTGACATGGTACGACAGCAAAGTTCCTTGATAACTACGCTAGAATGAAAAGTATAGTTCCTAGCCATATCAGTCTAAAAAATAGGTATTTTATTTTTTCGTTGGTCTTGGTCACATTGTAACTACAAAAGTGTCAAACTTTAAATAGGAAAATACTCAAAACTCTTTTTGAAATCTGAGCGAGAAGCTAATGGTCTAATCCCATTCAATGATTTGTGCTAAGCTAAGCTAAAAGTGGTCCCATAAGACCCGGGGATTGGCTGAATGCATAAAAAAAAAGTAAAACTCAACTTAAGGTGACTTGTAAAATTCAATTCTTCACATTTCTGGAAATAGTCTAATTTTATTAAATTTTTAGGATGCAAATTTGTGTATCACAATTATAAGTTTTGAACACACAACTACGAGTTTATTTATAGGAAAAAGACTTTTCTATTAAATATTTATAGAATTATTTATATAACTTGTATAAGTATAAAAAAGTTGCAATTGTGAGGTGTAAATTTAGAGTTTATGTCTCTGAATGACATCTTTATTTTCGTAGAATTCTGAGTTTACATGATGCAAATCAATTTTTAAAGCAACAAAATTTTTAAATGACAAGTCTTAAATACCTTTTATTTTTAGAGAACAATTGACCTATTGTGCATTTCATTCCTAACTATGCACCAGCAAATTCCTCTTTTAAAATAGCTCAACCAAAATAGCTGACCTGAGACATTAGGATATTTAAAAAATTAGAGCAGCAGGTTATTATATACTTACTGAAACCAATTGGTTACAGTCATCATGACGTACAGGGAGCCGAGAAAGAAAACAAAGTGAAAGAAGCAGTAGCTGTAGACTGTGCCGTCTCTCTCATCATACTTTACGTTTTGCCCTCCTGAGGTCTTCTCATCATCGTAATCCTCTGGAAAATATAAAAACAAGACATTTTTTAGGAAGTAAGTACCACTTCTTGACCAACAGGAGGCTCCATCTATCCTTCTCAACAGTGCATTAACCCACATGAACAAAAATCTGGGTTATTTCAGATCAACATTTGAAATGGAGAAGTGGTGTTCTACACTTTAAGCAAAACACTGCAGGCTGAAGCTTGTTTTCATGCACCTTTCATTTTTGACATTTTGGCTTTTTTGGCTTTTCATAAACCTTCTGTCTAATGTAAAGAAAACATCCACAATACACTTTTGTTGTTGCACTTCATCAGTCTGTGTAGATTACATATTTTTAAAGGCTGCTTTCTCAAAGTGTGTGTTTTCTGAGCCATAAATCACCAGTTCAGTAGCACCGAACCTCAGTTTCATTCATATCTATAATCTGAGGGTTTATACAGAGGGATATGTTTATACATAATTTCACTAATTTTATACAATGACTTCTGAATTATGGTATGACAAAAAGACCATAATCATCCTCTGCAAAACTTTTAACTCTAATGTCAAAGAAATAAATAAGACAACAATATGTTTGTAACTGACTTCTTTTAATATTCCAATCTTTGTGCTGGAAATGTATGAACAAAATGTGTGCATGTTTAATTAAATTATGCCTTGAACTTAAAATTTGTAATTTTTTATGCAAGTAAGCAATTGGGTATGGGAATTTGTCGTTTTTTTTTTTTTACTTAAAGGAGGCTTAAAAGAGGTTACCTGTATCATCAACCCAGCAGAAACAGCAGCGTGCTCTCTAAAAAAAAAAGAAAAAAAAAAAGAAACAGATGAGGCATGCTTGATGATTTAGTTTCAGTGATAGACAAATTACAATACAATAGGTCAGAAAGTGTAACCCTACTGAAACCCTACTCAATTATTACTCTGATAAAAGCATAAAGACTTTTTTTTTCTAAAGTACAAAAGAACTTAATTTTTAATTTACTTATTGTCTGTGTGAATCCGAATTTGCTGTGACTTATTTCAGTATGTAAATGTAAACATAATATTGAGTAGGGAACAGGGCTTTCTTTTTGCACATCATTCAATCATAACAAACAGTAAGAGGGCTGTGGTTAAGATGTCAAACTGATGTCAACAAAGAAGGAACATTTCTCTGCAGAGAGAGACAGTAAGACCTTCATTGAAGTTTACCAGTACAAACAGTTCACATTAAGAATAACAATGTGCAGAAAAAAATAAACATTTTGATTTCACATGGACTAAGTAATTTACTAGTGCTGGGCAAGGATATTCCATATATAGGATATATATATATATATGTGTGTGTGTGTGTGTGTGTGTGTGTGTGTGTGTGTATATGTGATAGAAACAAAAAAATCTAAAAATGTACAAATAATCCGTGTCATATACACATACAGTTGAAGTCAGAATTATTAGCCCCCTTTAACAGAGCAAAGACATTTTCACAGTATCTCTGATTATTTTTTTTCTTCTGGAGAAAGTCTTATTTGTTTTATTTCAGCTAGAATAAAAAGGAGTTTGTGTATGTATGTATGTATGTATGTATGTATGTATGTATGTATGTATGTATGTATATATAACTTTTGCAATTAATCACAACTAATTTTTGCCCCACACTAGCACCGATTTTGTCCAAAACTTGTCAAATGTCAAACCACACTGGTAATACAAAGAAAAACACATGACGCCACATTCAAACACCGAACACCATTCAGATAAGTTTAGAAAATCAGTGAATCGTTTACTGGAGACTCGCTCTGAATGGATCATCTGAATCAATGAGTTGTTAACTCATTTAAACCAATTCACAAATTAATTGTTTAGTGCAATTTGAGAATGGATTTAACAGGTTTACAAATACAATTCAGCTTGTATTCAAATCAAAAAACATCTCATTTCTTAACAGATAAAATTTCCCCGCATTCAAATAAACTTTACTGAAAATGTAGTTGAGCAAAAACTACAATAGTTTGCTTATTGAATTCAGTGAATAAAATTTTCCAAACTAAAAACAAAAAAGTAGTCAGCTAAAGCACATAAAATTTGTACTTTAATACAGTATTGAAGTAAAAACACTTGCACTTCACCACTGTTTAGTTTGAGATAATCTTTTAGACAGGGAGCACAACACATATGTTTACCTCATTTTCAGGCATATCATTCCTGTACACTTGCAACGCTGCTGAGCTCCTCTTGGTGGTGGAGATCAAACTGGAGGAAAAGAGTTTATGAGTGGCATCAAACACATGAGGGCAGTGTTCTTTTACAACCGCTAAATATAAAAACAGAGCATTCCCAAGAACTCCTAAAAATACACTCATTCTGCTTCAAAGCTTTGTTTTGCCTCACAAAAGCTGGAAGTATGGCAAAAACATTTCAACTGGAGATGACACAATGAATCACTGGGCTGACAACTAGTGCATATTGCTGTAAAACTGGCTTTGATGGAAAGAAGCAACTCTAAACTGAGAGCTTCAGCAGACATTTTTGCAGTTAATGAGAAACACATGCCAGTTCACAGCTTCTAATCTTCACTGTCTTCCTACCAGACTACCTGCTTTTAAACCTAAATGAACATCATAGCCAGATAATTACATGTTTCTACCCTTCCCGGGATCGCTTTTTTGGGATCACCCATTTAAATGACAGGTTATACAGATATGAATCCAAGCAAAGAATGTTAGTTTATTTAAAGAGACAGCTTACCCCTAAAATATATCTACAAGGCTGCTTTCTGAAATTGCATACTTGCTTACTATTATAGTAGGTGAAAAAAGTCATGTGAGATATTCATAACAAACAAAGTAAAAATAAAAGATCAACTAGATTTTGAATTGTGTGTCCAATGGACACATTACTATCACCTGGTGAAACAAAGGAGGACTGTGTATTGTGAAAAATAGCTGTATATCACAAATATCTTGACATCACAAGCAAAAAGTGTGGTATTTTCATAGCAAACATGTACTGGATTATTTATTATATTACCATTTGCCTAATTTGAATGAAATATCAGCATCTAATTTTTAAACTACCACCATTATTGCCAATCCCAGTGTAATGCAACCCCCTAAATTAAATATCTTGTTTCTTAAAAAACAAAAAAACAAAAAACAAAAAAACATGTTTGCTTTAAAATAAAATGAAAACAAATGCTAATTTCAAAACGGCAGGCGTAAAGGCTTTCTTTTCAAGCACCAAGGATGTGGTCTGTGGACACTTTTGTTAATGTGCCTGGAGCTACTGAAGTTAAAAACGTAAACATGATGTGCTGGTGCTCAAGATCGTCAAGAGAAGATGATGTGGAGCAGCTTGTTTCATTGGTGTCTAAACACAGTGGGCTGGCTCTATTTTAATGATCTAGGTGCAAAGTCTAAAGCGCATGACGCAAAAGCATAAAGGGCATGTCAAAATCTCCTTTTGCTATTTTAAGGATGGAAAAATATGCTCTGTGCCACGGCACATGGTCTAACAGAGTTGTGCTTATTCTCTTAATGAGTTATGGGTGTGTTTTGAGCATAACGTGCATTAAACCAATTAGTCTCATTTCTCATTTCCCTTAAAAGTCAGTTGCGTTGCGTCATGGGACATTTGCTATTTACATAGCAGATTTTATAAGTGTAAAAACTGAAAACTTCATTTGTAAGAAAACAGTTAATCAGACCATCTGCAGTATAAGGTTAAAGAACGAGCCTCCTTTATTTGGCCTCTTTACTTTCCCTTTACTTTACTTCCTTTCGTGGATAAGGAAACAGTGTTGCATACACTCCACTAAAGACATCCATTAGCCTACATATTTAATTTTGTTAGTTAAGCACAAAGATTTGATTCAAAACTATTTTTAAAGTTCTAATAAACTAATAAATTAACAATTATAACGAAGTGTGGTCAAAAAACTGAGTTATATCCAAACACACGTCCTATTTTTATGCCCCATTTAGTTATGCCGATGTCTCCAAAACCTGACAGGTGGACAAATCTAAACTTGTTTATCACATGATAAATAAAACTGCTTATGATAATAACATTATACAAATGCAAATTGCCATGAATAAACTGAAAAGGCCCCCGAGGTGAAGAAGGCATGAAGGTAGTGGCTTTTATATTTTGTAATATTTTAATCGTTTAATTCTTTTTCATTTGTAAAGATATTTGTGTATTGCTGTACATTCTGTGTGTATTAAGCAATGTGTAAGCATTTGGACCTGCATACGCACTTAACTAATGCACACTACGCTGGACTTTAGACCAGCTTTAAATTGCTCAGTGGTGCAGTCAGTTTCTCAAAATTGCAGCGACAACAATAACAAGCCCATCAAAGCACCTTAACACACCTCATTTAGAGATCAGCACACCCATGAGTCCACAAAGTGGCGCAAATTGATTTGCTATTCAAACAATGTGGCACAAAATGTGAAATTTAGGGTTACGCTTATCTAAAAAATAGCAACAAACACACCATTCACGTCTTGTGCCTTATTGTGCTGGGTGTATGATAGGGCCTGAAGAGTTACAAAGAGGAAGTACTAATATGAGCGACAACAAAAATGTTGCAGAGGTAGTTGTTGAAGAGAGAAATTGGAGATCAAATAGGATTCGATATTGGGTTTCATTACACTTAGGGTGCTTTTTACAACTCGTTTGTACCGAAACAGGGATTAAAGCTTTTACAATGTTGCACTTTGCACTTGGTGCGGTTCGCTTTCACACAGCAAAGTTTCTAAATGGACCAAAAGAGCTAAAACAAGTCATGTGCAAGTAAACTCTCCTCACACTGGTAAGAGTCCCGCTCAGCTGTCATGCATCCTTATTTTAATTTATGGCGATGAGCAATAAGATTGTATAAGCTGTGCTTTAATTTTAAATGGTGACATCCGCAGACATTGTCACCAAGTATAAATCAGTGGTAAGACTTTCTCATACATAGCCCTTGTCTAGAATTATGCATTATAGGGTTTACATTATAGAGAAAAATAACAGATAAACCAAGACTGCTGTTTGGTCAATGTTCCTAATGAATAAACAGCTCTCGTTAATAGTTAGCATGCTTTAACTTTCATATTTGACATGAAACGCACATTTACTGGTAGGAATGACATCCCGCCCTACTTATAATTCTCTCTTAATATAGCCATGTATATTCCTATTACATATCCATAATACACTGTGATATAGCTGGGCTCGGATCGTTAATCGATCCGCTCCAGAGTTCATTTTAATCAAGCCGAGACCACCTTATTCAGGCGATCTCAGACAGATTTTTTTGCCGTGGATTCGACTTGGGAAACGTGCCAGTTTCCGAAACAAAATTCTAGGTGTGAAAGCACCCTTAATTAAGCTCTATCTAACATCAGGATTTGATGTTGCATGTTTACTCAGCTCATCGCCATTGAAAATTGCTTGAGTGTAAATACAAATAAAACATGTTGAATACTTGGAACAATAACTGCGAGCACATTTTTCTGATTATATTTTTGTGTTCAATAAAAAAAAAAGAAACTCAAAAAGGTTTGGAATTGGAGGTTGACTAAATGAGGGAATCTTAATTTTTTTGATGAACCGTTTATGGTGGTAATGAGAAACATAACTAAACTTCCTCATACCATGAGTAGAGAATACAGCAGAAGAGTATGGCCGTCCCCACACCGGTCACTATGTTAGTGTCGCTCTTCAGTCCTGACTTGAAAGGAAAGACGCAGACGGTGATGTTGCCCTTGATTTCATCCTCCACCACTGAAAGAGACAACATAGAGGACAGATTTTAAAATAGGGTGTGGGTGAGCACTGTAAGACTGTGAAATCCCACAAACCACTGCGACACACCCAGCACAGCCAGAGACATTGAGTGTGTGTGTGTGTGTGTGTGTGTGAGAATGTGTGAGACGGACTCACTTTCAATGGGTTTACTGGCCAGAGCAGAAAAGGTGAGGTACATGACGTAAAGGGTGATGACGGCTGGCTGCAGAAGACCTGAGGTGGGCTGGACTGTGAAGGGAAACAGAGAAATAAATCACATTGGAGATGTGCACTAGAGATTTTTACTGTGTCTGTTTGACAGCATATGCATATTCATTTAGTAGGTTTTATTAATGAAAAAGTCTTCTATTTTTATCAAGGCAGCATTTATTACAGCAGCCAAACATTGTAAGAGATTTTAAAATAAACATTTAACGAACAGGATATTTAAACGGACAATATTATTAAATTTGGGCTCCACAATGCACAACTTATGCGCTACTGGTTTCTAGTTTTACTGAGACAAATCATTTCTGCATCCAGTTCATGGTTTATGTACATGAATCATTACAGCACATTTTTTGTTGTCAGTAACCTGTCAAGTTAAATGGTTGATCATACGCAATTTTTCAATCACATAAAGATGTAAATAATGCATTTTAACTATGCTTGTGTTTCCTTTTAAAAATGTTATTACGTTTAGCACTAAAAATGTGTTACTGTTACAAGCAATTTTCTACAACTTAAATTATATTATATATTAATCTCGCATTTGCTTTGTTTTGGACTTTATAGCGTTGATGTTGGTGAATTCACAGACTATTAATATAATACAGACAGAACTGTAGATTTGTTGATTTGGCTTTATGCCGTTCAGCGTTAAAATCTTGATCTGTGAATTTGTCATCACAGACATTACAATAATCTATAATATAGACAATAATTAAAATAGTAATTTTAAAGTGATGTTTTTAATTAGAAACAACCTTTGCTAAGCTGTTAACATGTTCATCTGTGAAATGGAGGCTGAATAAAGTAGTTCTTCACACAAAAGACTTTTATTTACACACTGGTGCCATCAAACAAGTAGTATCACACAAGAAGTACTGCGATATGGCTGTTTACCTACACATGAATAACAGCAGTGCTGATATACAACCCATGCATAGACCTGTCACAATAATCAATACTTATCGCACAAACACATGGACATGACCTCAATCATTTTATTGTGATGCAATGTATATCAACCATTCAAAAAAAATTATTCTAGCAACATTTTAGATGATTGTGCAACATCTCTATGTCTATCGGTGGTGTCAGTGTCAGTATGGGTAAAAACACAAGTATTTTCTATAAATTACTACAGTATATTTTCATGTGTGTGTCTGACAACTGAAAATATATCTAGTAGTAGATATTGCAGCCTCTGTTACTTTTTAAAATCTATTATTATTTATTTAGTATTATCAAATTCTGATTCCAATGGCCAATTATTGAATTGTTAAAATGACTGTAATTAAATAGTAGTTAAATAGTAGAATAAAATATAATGTGTTCTCTGGAAGGGTGTACTTGCATTATGATGCTATTATATTGTCCTTCTGGCATTATATAATGTTTTGGTGCAATATAACGTACAACAAAAAACCAAAAAAAAATCATGACTGGCCTACTATTGTAGTGCTACAAGGTTGATATTTCTCATATTATTTCTGTTGGAGAAAGACTTATTTGTTTAATTTTGGCTAGAATAAAAGGTCAAAATTATTAGCCCCTTTTTCGATAGTCGACAGAGCAAACCATCATTATACAATAACTTGCCTAACAAACCTAGCCTAATTAACCTAGTTAAGCCTTTAAATGTCAATGAATACTAGTGTGTTGAAAAATATCTAATCAAATATTGTTTACTGTCATCATGGCAAAGATAAAACAAATCAGTTATTAGAAATTAGTTATTAAAGCTATTATGTTTAGAAATGTGTTGAAAACATCTCTCCATTAAACAGAAATTGGGGGAAAAAATAAACAGGGGCCAAATAATTCAGGGGATTAACAATTCTGACTTTAACTGTATGTGTGATGTCTATATTCTCTTTTAGTTTTTGCATTTGTTTAGTGATTTTTCAATTATTTATACAAATTTAACAGATTTCAATAACTAGCTAACTTTATAGACTTTAGACATTACCTAGTTTGTAAAAGAAACAGAACATACATTTTTGGAACAATGGCTTAGCAAGTCTTACCAAAGAACAAAAATGCTTTTGTGGATGCAATAAAAGAAACATTTCTATCTAAAACGTCACATTATTGCAACTAAAATGCATGCTAAAGCAATTTTAAACTTTGCTCTGTTTAGTGAATCCTTATTGATTGTGTAAAACTGCCGGCTGTATGCATAAACTTGTTTGTCAGACATCAAACAAACATCTGCTTATCTGTACAAAAAGTAGGTCATTGAAGTGGAAGCGTGTTGGTGAACTCACAGGTCTGAATGCAGGGCGAGATGGCCAGCAGAGACACGATAAAACACAGGCCACCGTTGACCCCCAGGAAGATCTTGTTGAGAAAGCAGGCCTCTGGATGAGTGTAGTACATGAACATGAACACCATGCCACCCACTGCCACCGAGAACAGCACAAGCGTGACCAAAGCCAGCGCCGCATACCACAGTTTATTGTATGTGGCTCCTGAGCTCCTGTGGAGAGACACAGTGGAGATTCTAAATTCAAGACAAATCGCTGCATTAGTGGCATTAGATTACAGCTGTTTTGTTCTTCTGACTATGGCTGAGAAAGATAAGACAACAATAGCAATAGCAAGTCATTTTATCATTTAAAATGTGAAAGAAATAAGAATTTACTCTTGTTATTTTAATATTCATATAGTAGATGTATCTGTACACTTCATTATTTTGCATCCAGAATATTTAATCAAATATCATAAGCTTCTCTACCCATCGGAAAGACTTTTCATTACTTGTGGTCACGTGGAATGCCGTTGGGGCGCATCTCATTTCTGCTCTGATTTCATTTATTGGCCATCTTCTTTTTTTATTTTGTTAGCAACACTCATCTTACAACAATGCAATCGGTTTCAAAAGGATGAAACCATGCACCACCCTAAATTGTTTTTTCATTTCAGGACCGTTTCAAGAGGATAGATGTCATGATCGTAGAAAAAAAGATGATCTAAAGCTTCGGTCACACTAAAGTTTGAGCATGCAAAATTTTGTTCTACGGCGCCGTGAAAAGGGGCAAGATTAAACAAGATAAGACAAAAAAAAAAAAAAACGAAAAAAAAAAAAAAACGAATGATTAGTCTATGTTTTAAATTTCTGTCCAGAGAGGTCATGTTTTGATCTTCGATTGGTCTCATGCAATCCTGTGATGAGATTTCGCAGGACACCAAGCTTGAACTTTCCAACGTAGCAAACTGCGAAACTTGTCACACAAGCCTGTGTTTCCGGTCTGATGCATTCATTTGTGTATGAATGGAAGTCTATAGGGAGAAAAGTGCAGTGTGACCACAACTTTAAATTCCAGTTTTCTTCAAATCAGTGGTTCTCAAAGCTGGTCCTGGCGTACCACCAATCTGCTTATTTTGCATGTTTCTCTAATTTAACACAACTGATTTAGATAAGCAGCTTCTTAGAAGAGAACACAAAGAAGGACCGTTTAGATCAACATGTCCCCAACATAGTGTTCACTGCTCTCTAACCCTTGCACACAGAACATTTTCTGAACTTAAACTTTAATTCACTTTAATAAAAAATACTGTAGTATATTTTGTAATTGTACTTGGTAACAATTCTCATCTTACTAGTCAGAACTGTAGAGAACTATAATATTTTAAACGAGTACTAGACGTTTTAGAGATTAAATGTTAAAAACAATCGCCTTAAAACCAATAATTAGCACTATATATTTTTCCTATGAACTATAAAACCAATGCATAAGTCTTATATGAATTTAAAAATGTTTGGATGGCTTAAATTATTGACTGAACTGAATTTTATTGTATTCATTTTGTATAGTGTATTGTTTGTGTAAATTATAAATGGCATTACTGACTAATATAAATCATTCATTTTACGAAAGCATCATAAAAACACATTCTGATCCCATACAGTAGTGCAGGGGTGTCAAACCCAGTTTCTAACCCTGCTTCAATGCACTTACCTGGAAGGTTAAAACAAGCCTGAAAGACTCAATTAGTTTGATCGGGTGCATTTATTTAGGGTTAAACTAAACTGTGCATAGCTGTGGCCCTCCAGGAACCGAGTTTGACACCCGTGTAGTAGTGTTTATAGAAAATACCACTGGTATTTCGCCATGTTCATCAAATGTAGAATTCAATAACCATGTATTTTATTCAGAACATTATGAATATCATGAGACAACAGCTCTGCATTGCAGATATTCTCTCAAGATTTCAAACAGATGCTCATTTATTATAGGACTCAAAACCGGTCAGGAGGAGGCCATTGAGACCAACAGGTAACATGAACAAACACATTTTACAAATCAGATTTAAAGGTGCAATAAAATAAAAATCTGGATATACCTAGACATTGCTGACTAATGATATTTTCATACATATAAATGACATAGCATTAGGAAACAGTAAAGGAGCAGTATTGTCAAGCAGGAATCTGTTCACAGTGCATCAGGATGCTAAATGTGAGATTTATGGATTATAAATGTATTCAGTGCCACCATGAATAGGCAAAGGTTTAAATTTAACATGTAGATTGTGAAATCTGCAGTGTTTGTAACAAGGCAACAGACATATGTAAACTGCCTAATATACACGTTAAATGGACATTTATGCATTGTGTCACATCTGTTTCTGTGAATTGTTGCACTGTAGCTATCAGAGACCTATTTATTATATATTGTATCATTGGATCCTATGGCACCTTTAATCACACTGAAACCAAATTGAAATAATCAGATTCATTTAAATATATATGTATCACTACAGTTCGGAAGTTTGGACTCTCCCCAATAATGCTAAAGATTCACCATATAGTAAAACAATATTTTTACAATTTAAAGTAATGGTTTTAAAATGAAAATGTATTTACTGGATGGCAAAACAGAACATTTAGCAAATTCTTTGTTAACTTTATGGAAATCTTTATTAACTTTAACTTTTTTAACTGTTTGACTTTATTAAACCTGCTGGTTGTGAGTGTGAAATCTGAGGCTGTGTCATAGGTGACTAGTCATCACTGAGATTCTAATGTTCTCACTAATGTTGTGTCCTTCACGCTCATCGACTTTAAAGCCAGATTAAAACCTTAAAATCAGATAGCTCCAAGAGACTGTCTCTGTAATTAATCAACTGTAAATCACTCTGGATAAAGAGCCGCTGCTAAACGACAAGTTAATCTGAGAGGTGGATTGCTCTTATCATAAATGTATACGACACCAGAGGATGATTACTGTGAGTGAGTGAGCAGCGAGGAGAGGGAAATGTTTCAGTAATGCACAGGAGAAGTGCTGACAGCAGTAACTTCCATCTGCTGGGCAGTCCTCCAGAGTCTGCTTCATCTCAACATCTCAATCAACACACACTGCACTTCTTACATCTATTATTTAGGCTTTTATCATTTATTCGGACCAAAACCAAAAAAAAAAAAAAAGTTTACAATTTTCACTTAACATAAAAAAAGACAATTACTATTAACATTTTATAGTATCAATTATAATATATAATAATAAATATTATTATATATTGTTAATAATATGATAATAATAATAACAATAATACTTTTTAGCACATTATTATTAATATTAGTTATCATACAAGTAATAGTATAAACTAGTTACTGTAATCATTTTATAACATTGTTAATGATAAAATAATAAATAATATATTCTCCAGCATGTACTCGTTAAATATAAAAGTAAAATAAATTAAAAAAAAGAATGGTCACATTGATTCATCGATGTCAACACTAAAAAGCAGCAAAAATTAACTATTTTCACTGACAAAATTAAGAAATATTTCCTGAATAGCAAATCAGTACATTTAAATTATTTCTAAAGCTGAAACGTTGAGAAATTATTCTGAGCTTTGCCTTTACAGTAATACCATTACAATAAATCAAAATAATATACTATAATATACTAAACCATATATACTATAATATACTATACTATAATATAATATACTATGATACAATATAATGTAATATACTATAATATAATATAACATAATAAAATATATTTTAATTTTGCTTTACTATAATAATATAACATACTATAATATACTACACTATAATATGATATACTTTAATATATGTTTAAATTATTAAGCTATATTATAATATAACATAATTTCATATATATTTTTAGATTATTATGCTATAATATAATATATTTTAAAATTATTATGCTATACTATAATATATATTTTTAATAATTACACTATACTATAATATAACACTATAATATACTATACTATAATATATTTTTAAATTATTACGATATATTTTTTAAGTCTGTAATGATTTTACTGTGAAGACAAAGTTACCAACTTATATACAAATAAACAAAATTTCAGATTAAAACATCTTTACTGCTCTTGCTTTACTGAAAAAGAGGATTACTAAACTACCAGCAATTGCAAATGTAAAAATCTTTTGGTGATTTATCACTTCTAATTATTTTGGGATCATAAAGAATATTTCCAAAGGGATCTTTTGTCAAATTTAGGTTATTTCTTGAGGCACGATTCATGCGTTACAAAATTCCCCATGACAGTCTCAGACATTTCTGGCCTTTTGTGCTGAGGTTTCCATTTGTTGAGAGAAAGCAGAGAGGAAACTATGATGCACGTTGAGCTCTGCCAAGGGTTTCCTGTCCACAGACTGGAGAGCTGCCAAAAACCTCTTACTTCAACTCTTTCTCCTCCCTATAATGTCAACAGCACAACACACAGCCATACTCATACAGTCACAACAAGCATTATTTATGAAAACACACCCTTCAGAAAGCTCTGCTCGCTGTTCTCCTTCAGTGTGACTGTAGTTTGAAACATTTCATGTCTTGAGAACTCCCACTGAAATAAATCCCTGGTTCTCAGAATGAAAAGGCTAAAATGATTCACTAATAATGTTTTAGTGGATCTTGCTCTGCTTTACTGAAACTGATATTGAAATAGTTCACGTAATGCTCCAAACATTCATGTGATTTGTACATCACACCTTGTCCACCACAGTGCCAGAGACTAAAATTAGAATTGACTGCACTGAAACTTTCAATGTGGTGTTAAAAAGTCTACAACAGCACAATGTTAAAGCCACAAGCACAGACACTTGACACATATCACTATAAAGATCCTTCATTTATCTGTTTGATGGATAAAATTTCACTTGAAAGTTTGATTTTTGCATCTCTGCACAGTAAGAAGTGATTAGTTGATTTTAAGATAGTAAACCTGATACTTTTAAAGTGAATAGTTGACTTTACATAAAAACATTAAACCTATTGCCTTAAAATTAACAAGTTTACTTTATTTAAAATGGAAGCAATCCCAATGTAACTATTAAGTTTACTTAATTTGTTTAATTATGCACATAGTTCATTAACATAATAATTTTAAGGCAACTGGTTTACTCACTTTTTAAATGATAAAAATCAACTTTAAAAAAATTCAACTTAACACTTCCAAGTTTGGGATTTCTCAATTTTTTAAGTCACCATGCCACTTTTTGGAGTGTAGGCTCAAATTTAAAAAAATGAAGCAAGCCAGAACTAAATGTATTTTGGTTTGGACTGAACAAACTAGGTGTGTACACAACCCTAAAGCAGTGGTCACCAAACTTGTTCCCGGAGGGCCGGTGTCCTGGAAATTTTAGCTCCAACCCTAATCAAACACACCTGAACAAGCTAATCAAGGTCTTATTTGGTTTACTTGAAACATCCAGGCAGGTGTGTTGAAGCAAGTTGGAGCTAAATCCTGCAGGGACACCGGCCCTCCAGGACCGAGATTGGTGACCCCTGCCCTAAAGGGATAGTTCACCCCAAAATTCTACCCTAATTTACTTACTTGCTCCAAACCATTTTGTTCCGTTGAACACAAAAGGAGATATTTTGAAGAATGTTAAAAATCTAAAACCATTGACTTCCATTCTTTGTTTTTTTCACCTATGGAAGTCAACAGTTTCCAACATTCTTCAAAAAATCTTCTTTTGTGTTTGACAGATCAACTTGCGTCATAAATACTGTCTGTGTAGAGAATTACCAGTTTGTAAACATTCAGGATGCACACAGCAGGGTTGCAGAAAAAAAAACGGGAGCGATAGCATTTACAGCGAGGCAATGACATCCGATGCGGTACAGAGTTTGTTGTTGTATTAGAAATAAGTTATATTGATAACATATTGTATTTACATAATGCTTTCATTGTATTATGACAGCTTGTCACCCAGTGATAAGCACAGCTGTTCTGAAAAAAAGTGAGAGGAGTTCGTCTGACAGGTCCATTTGTGATAGCACCCTCCCAATGAATATTGGATAAGACGAAATAGCCAGGCATCCAGCCCCAAATATCTCATTAAAACTCCAATTGATTTTACAAGAGAGAAGTTAAAAGCCTTTGGATGCAATTTTGTTCTGTTTGGTCATGTGCAGGAAATAATGTTTCATCATTACTGCATTCAAAACTATGCAGTGTTAAAAATCGAGGTTCTGACAAGGAAAGAAGAGGGAGCTATACAAGGCCTGGGTAATCATCAACAAGCAAAACAACTGCATTCTGACAGCGAACTGCAGCTGTACGGCAGAGTATGTGAACGTACATTTTTACATTTTATTCTAAGCATTCAGTGTCTGCAGTTTAATTAACCATATTTAACTGTTTTTTTGCTAAAATCATTGCTGCCGAAATGTGTATGATTCAGCATAGCGTGGACTTAACTGATATAACATGAGAACTGCAAAGTCGAGCATTTTTAATTAGGTCCTCACTCCATTCAACTCTTATGATGGCTGTTAGCCAAAGACATCTGTGGTTGGCAAAAAAAGCAGTGTGGTATATGGTAAAATTTAAGTTTTCTATTTTTGGATTTTCGTATTTGGCATCCAACCGCACAACATGAAATGTTTGCTATTGCAACCGGTGTTTTTTTTTCTGCAACCTGTATGCGCGGTTGAACCCGTGTGACATCATGTGTGATGTAGGTTGGTAATTCTACTATACCTGAGTGTACATAAATCAAGACAGTTCCTGAATCAAGCATTCATGTGATTTGTAAATCACAGCTTGTCCACAACAGTGACTAAAATAAAAATTGCACAAAAAAATCCCCAAATCTTTCACTTTGGCATTAATGTCTCTCTTTCCTATATCAGCACAATATTAAGACAACCCCGGCTGGCAACTTTGCAACCGATCTGACAGTGGAAATTAAAAGCGGCCAGCATACACTATAGTCTTCATTTCCAGACTAATGATTTCCAGTCATAGGGACTCAAATTACACACCACGCAACAGTTGGATATGATGATGGAAAGTACTAGAGGCATTCTCCAAAAGCCAAATAAGTTTTCCACTTGGTGAATGAAAAGGGGGAAAAAAAGGAAAAACAGACAGTAAAAAGAAGCTAAACTTCAGCTCACCAGTTTTGGTTCCATCTGTGGGCAAACTGAACGAGAAGCATCAACTGGATGATGATAAAGAGAAAACCTCCAGCTGCCCCAACGTAACGCCAGACTGAGAGAGAGAGAGAAAGAGAGAGAAGTCAAAGGTCATTCCCTCGGGCTGATACTGTATGACAAAACAATCTCCCTTTTCTGATAAAAGCCCGGAACTAAAAACACTCTAGGAAGCACCCATCCCTCATCCAGACACCAAAGACTGATAATCACTCAGACTTCAGCTCATTTAAAAGTGTGCATGAACTTCTCCTCTGGCACACTGACCTTCCTGTACACTGCAAATTTTAGATAGTAGATTTAACTACATTAGAGTTAAAATTAACACTCCCTCAGAGTTTATATGGGAACCACTATAAAAATGTTAAAATAACTTTTGAAAGAGTTAACATTATCAAAACTGAGAGAGTGTTAATTAGCAAATTCTTATAGTGTAAAATATCTGTACAATTTTTCTATAAAAAATACTGAAGTTTTACAGAACTGTTTAAATTTACGGAAAATAACCGTATTTCATGAACTGATACAACGTTCAGTACACAAAGTTGTAGCTTAGTGCACAAAAACAAAGTCCATAGATGCATTGTGTTCATCTGTGATTGCAATTGCAACAGATTTTCACTGCATTAGCAACTACATAGTTACCTTTAAACAAAAGAAGATGCAGCATAACAGATACTCTCAGTTCATCTTGGACTTGATCACAGATGTTACTATCCTCCACAATGGTGACACAAAAAAAAGTTTTGCTGTTTTTTTTTTCTTTCTTGATTTTACGAAAAAATACCGGCAGCTGTGGTTGCTAGTTAACTACTTTTTTTAACATTTTACATTCATAAATTTAATCTACAGAATATTTCTGTTAAAAGACATTCCACAGTTTGTATTTTTCATCAAACAGATAGAGTATATCCAATTAAAAAGGTAATAGATTACATGTACATTGTTAATAAAAACAGTTATTATAATTTAATATAATATCTAAATATTTACAATACATTTTTTAATGCATTGTTTTATATATAATGGGACCCTGGACCGGTGTCAATTTTATGAAAATGAGATTTTTACCTCACCCAAAAGCTTAAAAGTCCTGTTAAGTGCTTTGAAATGTGCCTTTTTTAATTGGATGTTTGCCATTATCTCAATTGAAACATGAAGAGAGGGCAGGACAGAGTAGCTCCTCCCCATTTAATAAAAAAAAAAACGCTAATACGCTCATTTCATGTGGCCACTTTTGAAAAACAAAAGCAAGGCTGCGGTGGGAATAAACCTGAATGTAGAGGACCAGCACTGTAAACACTGCATCAACATGCTGTGAACTACAAACCTCGGTGGGAATAACCTCGAAAATAAAGGACCAGCACTGTAAACATAACATTAACATACTGTGAACTACAAACCTCCAACTGTTACCATGATTTCAAAGTGCAGAAATGATGTAAACATCACTTTAATATCATTCAGTTAAGTTTAATTTAAACAATTAAAAGCATATTAATCAAACACAATCACAATCTCTTTAAGAGTAATACGCTTAAGTGTCCTACTAGACTTCAGTTCATGGTACTAGGTAAACACTGTGGAGACGCTTCCCTGCTTCTGCCTATGTAACCTGGTAAACGATAAAACAATGCAGTTTTGTGTAAAATGGAGCACACCCTCGTGTAGTGTTGAAACGAAACTAGAATTTTTAAAACGTCCATTCCCCACTAACATTTAAGCATGTTTATAAACACCACTGATTTACCATTATGCTCAACAAAAATGGTTGTGATTGCCTGTGAAGGTCATCTGTTCATCGCTCTTCACTTAGTGCAAACACGGATTCATGTACACTTGATCGTTTTAAAGCCGCAAAGTCCTGTCGATTTATCAGTTGATCGCTCGTCTGTGTTTGCACTCAGTAAATATCAGTGAAGAGCAGTGAACTAATGACCTTCATGACCAATCACAGTCATTTCTGTTGAGCACTAGTGAATACTATGGCAAATCAGCTGTGTTTAAGAACGAGCTAGACAGCGCTTAAACGTTAGCGGGAAATTGACGTCTTTTCATTTTTTAGAACCGTAATTTAGTATTATGACAGGTCTAATATAGAGATAGAATCAGTTCATTAACTTAAGTTTGATAAATGGCTAAATCACAATGTGTTTGGCAAAGAAAATGTTAGCTAACTAGTGCCATATTCCTTAATTTAGCTTAAAATAAGGTCCGATATCCCTGTGTCCTGTCACTATCCAATCAGAACGGAAATTTGGGTCACTCAGAAAGCAGTGAAATTATACATTTTTGTCACTTTCTTTTTACTGATAAAATATACAGCCAGCTACACAACAATACATGATAGCAGACACTGCTCTTGTGTGACTCTAGGCAATACTTCCAGGTTTCTTTTCATAGCAGCCTCGCTTTCGCTTTTAAAATGACGGCCATGTGAAACAGTATATAGCGTTCTTTTTCATCACAGCTCTGTCAGTGAGAATGGCTGCACTCAAACCCATCAAATGAAAAGCATCTTGGAGGTGAAGGGGCATGTCCAGATTTAATGTGAAACTAAAGTATGAGGTGAAAATGTTGTTTATATCAGGTTTATTTCTTTTGTCACTGGCTTATTTATATCCTTAAAACTAACATACTGATGATTTCACTGGACTTTTAATTAAGCTTTTTATTGATATCTGGTTTATTAGAATAAGGCAATATTTATGAACTATTTAATTTTAATTATTTGAAAATCTAGAATCTGTGACGTCCAAAAAAATAAAAAATAAATAAATAAAAAATCCCCTTTTGTCCAATTTAAGCTCTTAGCAATCTATATTACTAATGAAAAATAGGATTTCGAAATAATTACAGCTGGTTGTGCCAGCATCGTGAGGATTAAATGAAGGATTTTACAGAACCTCTCGCGCTTGAAAAATGTAACATATTTAGATGATTTTCAGTGGCAAAAGCTGCTACCAGCAAACCCTGTCCCACAGACTTTACATTGAATGGCTTTAGTTTTTTTCATAGAGGACTTGAAGCCACTGGAAGTCTTTTATTCACTCTTGGAAAAGTGTTAATAAGGGATTAACATTTGGCACATGATCACTAATAACTAATAACTAATTCACTACAGTAAACTCCAACCGAACTCTCATCTCCTCCACCAGCTGTGGGAAAAAGCCATTAGACCGACACAGATCGGTGCCTATTCATGCCAGATTCCCGACGGAAAAAGTGATTGACAGGTGGTCATTTGTTTGTAACTTTATTTATTTATGGTTTGGCTATGGGTAAAGCAAATTAGCTGAATGCTGATTGGTTACAGAGATATGTCACAAACTCGTGTGGAGCTGTTTACTGTAGGCATTTATTCGAGCGAGAATGATGTCGACTGAAACTTTCTGTCGTACACCACGCCCACTAAAAGGATACCCTTGGGAATGGAAACGCAAGCCTGATAAAGGTGACCCAAACCGACCCATACCATACCGTATTGTACCAGTCAGTGGAAATGGGCCAATATTGACCAAAATCAATCTAAAAATCTCATGATATTATCATCTGTTTATGATGCTATACTACTAATTCAGAAAGTTTATTAATGTATTTGAGATGTACTATATTTAATTAAGTGTGCTAATTCAATTAATCTTTAAACAGGATAAAATCTATTCTATTAAATGATTTGCATAACAAGCAGGGTTTAAACTGAAGATCTTGTGTAACAGTCATCTAAATATGTTAAATATGCCTGCAGTCAGGAGGTCATTTATACAGTTTTAGAGTCTCTGGAGTTTTTGAACCACAGAGAGACACTTACAGTAGATCAACTGTGTTGTACTTGGACGAAAGATATCGCAACACTACAAGATCAAAGCAGAAATAATAAAACTTTCCAAGAAACTGTCAACTCCCCTTTAAAACAAGTTTCAATCAAATTTCGCAAGCTTTTTTGTGTTGCAGAAAAATAATAGCATCAAATGTTTAAAAGTGAGAGCATGTGGAAGCAGATCATACTGAACCTTCAAGAAACTGGTCTTGATTGGGGAGAAAGAATCCGCCCGCACAGCAAGCCAGCAGAGCCACAAACTTAAAGAACCAGAACCTGCAAAAAAGGAGAGATTGATATTTCACAAACTGCTAGTCAGGGTTTAAAACACACTTTATAACATCAGTTTTCAGAAATGGTTTTGTGTGTCAATTAGTTTTTTTTGGAGGAGGGCTGTCGGAAGCTCACAGGGAATGGTCTTTTGTTGTTTGTTTGTTATTTTTGTTCTTTTTGTTTAGTTCTAATGTTCTTTTTTTCAAATGACATGTCTATATTATGGGAATGTGCTGTGATGTGGAAAATAAATATTTTCTTTTATGTGCCTTTCCAGAGACCTAATTGGTCACCATTATTAGTACTTAAAGATGATGTGATGTTTCCATTTTTCTTTTTTTTTCCCAACCTCAATCTATTCGCTTATTTACTTATTTTCTTATTTTTAAGGATTACTATAATTTCTACAACCCACTGCAGATTTTTTTTGTAAAACTTGCCTTTGATTATGTCTGTAAAAGCACATTGTACATTCATTTTGGTAAACTTAACCATGTTACAAAAAAAATAAATAAATAGTTTTTAAACTGTTCTAAAAGAAAGTGTAATTTTATATAAAACATGTTTAACTATTACATAATTAGACTAAACTTTAAAAGAAATGTGTTAAAATGATCTGGAAAAAAACATTACTAAATCAGTTTGGTTATTAATAATTTTACATCCATTTGTACAATATCTATTAATCCAAAGGCACTTTTCTCTAAAATCAAAATCCTAGTTTAAAAACAATATGTTCAAAGGTTTGGGGTCTGTGAGATTTGTATATATTTATTTATTTTTTACTTGAAGAAAGGAATACCTTAATTTAACTATGATGCATCAAATTAAGCAGTAAAATTAATAAAGACATTTATATTTTGTTACAAAAGATTTCTATTTCAAAAAAATGCTGAGAAATACTTCTTTTAGCAGAAAATCATATTTGTGGTTCATAATACCCACATTTCAGATTACATTATGGTTTGAGCCACTAATAGAATAATTGTATTTTTTTTTTAATAAAAAAAAAAAAAAGAAAAGGAAAATGAATAGAATGTCTTCCATTTATTACAAGAACATTTGGGTTGTTGCTATGCTAGATCAGATATGGTTGCCGTTGAAGTTAACAAATTTTTTTTTATATTATTTATTAAATTTCCTATTAATTGTATTATATTAATGTCTACCCCTACCCCAACGCTAAACCCAACTTCACAGTAAAGTAAAAACAGATCTGGATCTGGAGTCTTCTCTATTAGTAAAGCTGATCAATCACAAGAATTATTTATAGTATTTAATAAATGTCCCATTAATTGTATTTTATTAAAGGATCATGAAACACCAAAACACATTTTTTGAGCTGTTGACAGTCGTATATGTGTCCCACACTGCTAAAAACACTATTAGGACACCTATATTTTGCTAAAAAGTGTAAATTGGTTGTTTTTACGTTATTTCAAGCAAATTCGTACTTCCGGTTTGAAAGGAATTTTTGAAGCTGCGTCACGGCCATGACATAATAGCGTTGTATTCCAGCGTGCAGACTGGACATCTGTGCCAGAGTGTGTCTTATTACGTCTTACAGTGTGATGCATTAATGCATGAGTAAGGCTTGGTTCAAACCAATAAGCGCGCTCTATTGTGCAACTTCATTAATATTCATTACTGTCACAGTGTTTAGACGACAGAGACGCCACGTTGTGTTGGCAAAACAAGCGTGAAGTGTTGCTTTTATAGTTTGCTGCAGTTAAGTTTTGTTTTCATTTTCTCTCTGTGAGAGCGCAGCTAGAGTCACGTGTGGATTAACAGTGTACGTGACGCTCGACAACAATAACTTGCGTGTCTAAGGAGGAACATTGTTTACCTGAGAGCTGTTCTCATCTGCAAACGCTGAGATCCGGATTCGCTTGTAGTCTTCTCTTAATAAAGACGCGGCTCTAGTGGCTGGTGATTGTCCTGTCTCTACAGATTTGGTAAGTGAGCGACCAGCGCTCTTTGTTTATTCAGTTTGTTCGTATCGAACTAAGTTAACTATAGCACCGAGTGTAAACATGTTAGCACCACAACCAAACTTTAACCTCGTGTAGGGTTTTCACTGCATTTTGTGACCGGAATAACACACGCGGCTTTCTGACACTACCTGCCGTGTGCATCTAAGTTTCCGGGAAATGCTGAGTTTTTTTTCTCTCATTCGCCGTGCGGTATCAAACATTGCATTAAAAATACACGCTTAGAGCAGTTCCTCGAATCAAATATCTTGTTTGTCGCAAGGGGCATAAATGAGTTCCCTAATGGAAAGAGCCAAACTGCAGTTAAAGTCCACCATTTAATAATTTGGCAAATAATTTGACTACAGATGTCCATGTAGGTTAAACACCATCACTTTCTCCCGTGTGTGTGTGTGTGTGTGTGTGTGTGCGTGTACTCTGAAACTTGCGCGTGCCCAAATAGACACTCCCACACCATCCCATTTTAGTTCCTCCGACACTCCTCCCTAAACTCCCCCCTCCCTAACTTTTCTGACTTTTTCACCCTGTAACAAACAAGGGGGTTTCATGGTCCTTTAACATCTACCCCAACCCTAAACCCAGCCATCACAGTTATGTGAAAACAGTAGTTGTTTTCGCAAGATTCTGACACTTTAATAAGCTTGGAAAAAGATATCATGAGTTTCACAATATTGTGATTACACCTCCAAAATATATTATTTTAAATGTCTGGGTAAAAACTGGGATTCCCTTTTGATCACAATATATTTTATTTTGAGAAACATTTAAAATATTTTTGAACAATAAACATGTCAGGGTAAATAACTTAAATTAATTATTGACTTCTACTCTCTTCATTTATTTCAAAAACCCTGATTTCTTTACAATTTTAAACAACATCTTTGAATATATTTTCTGCTGGAGATACTGTTGTACTGTTTTACTTGTATATTTACAAATTTATAAAAAATAGTACACATACCTTAGGAACGGTATTGCAAAATATTTTGACGGAGGTTTTTAAACCTTTTCCAAATCACAGTATACCTTGAAAACGATTATCGACCCATGAAAAAGTCTTACCGAGCATTATTTATGTAATCTTTTAAATTACCCAACAAATTGTATTTTTTTACATCTACCCCACCCCAACCCAAACCCAATCATCACAGTACTGTAAAAAATATTAATTAATGTTATACAGCGCCACAAAAATTATGCTATACTGATATGCTTATCGCTTTTCTGTCTATCCTTTTTAGACTTTACCAAACATTTGGTTTAATCTAATTAACATATGGAATCGATCACTTTAATAAAAAAATAAAATAAAAAAAATAAAATATTCAAAAAACTATTACACAACTATATCATATTTATATTTCTACTTTAGAATTCAATTTTGGCAGTAGAAATGTCTTTATTAATAAAATTAAATGATTTAACATATTAAGAAAACCACTAGATAAAGAAAAAGTGTAAATTAAGTAAACAAATGCTAAATTGTACACCAAAAATATTTCTGTCTGGCAATTTTGTCTCTTTGTTATCTAGTATAGGATTTCCTGTTTGTCCCTGTTATCATGTCATCACCAGATGGTTTCAGGAATATGTGAACGAGGATTCATAGAGTGATGTTTTGTTTGTGTTTGCGTGTCGGTGTGTAGAGCAGGCAAAAGCTGCATACAACATCAAGTTCGGCCATGTACTTTCTCACCCAGCATTTGAATACACACAAAGGTCTGATTATTGCAACATGAAGTGCCTAATGTGGGGCTAAACCATCCCATTCGCAGAGGAAAAGCTCGTCACTATTTCCTCTGGACAGAGCTTTAGATTAATACCTCCATTCAGGGCTTTGGATGTGGGTGAATAATGGAGCGTTAGGAGGAGCGTACAGATGGAAACAGCAGGCCAAACAATACACTCTGGTCGTTGATCCGGGGTTGTGTCCAGTGTAAATAGCACTTCAAAAGTGGCCGGGTCACCCGCTTACCCATTGTGAACAGCTGCCCGGCATCCTGTGCTGTTCTGCACACGAATGGTGAAGACAGCGAAGAAGAAGAAAAAACAGGCCATGCCGAAGCAGACTTTATAGACGGCTGAATAGCCCACTAGGGTACTGCAGTTCTCTCCAGCATTGAGCTGCTGACACATCTGTGAGTAGAAAGGAATCTGAAAAAAAGCACAAAACAATAGAGGAATTAAATTACAGAAGTGTTACAGTCGCCTCAGGGTAAAGATAAAGTTAAAGTAATCCAAACTTTGTACACACCTATTCATGCTGGCAAAAATGAAGGAACAACCTAAATATATACACACCAAAAAATAGACATTAAACTGCTTACAATAACCCAAATACTACCAAATGCTTGTTGTTTCTAATACAAGTTTAAATAGTGGGATTTGTTATTCAGTAGTAATTGGTTTATAATAATAACAATAAATAAATAAATAAATAAATAATAATCCTACAATCCTATCCTATCAATCTACACTAAAAAAATACTGTTTCCTACAATCCATCAGTGTTAGGACAACATGAAGTAATTAAGGTAACTAATCAAGTTTTACAGATTATGTAGATTGAACATAAAAAAAACGTTAAAACAAATTAAGTTGAGGCAAAAAAAAAAAAAAAAAAACTCAAGAATTGTGTTGTTTCAGGTTATTTAAAAAATTATCTAAAAAAACAGCAAACATAATTTTCTAAGTGTAACTTTAAAGCTATAACTTTAGTTTTCTTTTTTATAAGTTATAAGAAGTTGAAATTATCTTTTATATTTATCTCATCTTCTATATTAAACGCATTAATAGTGACAATAATTATACATACAAGAATAAAATGTCAAGAAAATTTCTATATTATCATTGAGCTTGGAAAAAAGAATTTTCAGTGCAGTTTACAAACCAAAAAAGCAGCACAATTGTTTAACATTGATAATAATAATAATAATAATTATTATTATTATTATTATTATTATTATTATTATTATTATTTTCTATAATATATGTTTTATTCTGGAAAAAGTCTAAGTTTTTTTTATTAATAAAAACAGTTTTTACATTTTTTAAAACCCATTTTAAGGTCTATATTATTATTATTATTATTATCTTCTTAAGTAATATAACTTTCTACAGAACAAATCACTGCTATACAATGACTTGCCTAATTACCCGACCTTGCCTAATTAACCTAGTTAAGCCTTTAAATGTCACTTTGAGCTGAATCTTGAAAAGATTCAGCATCTTGAAAAATATCTAACGAAATATTATGTGCTGTCATCATGGCAAAGATAAAATAAATCAGTTATTAGAAATGAGTTATTAAAACTTTTATGGTTATAAATGTGTTCAAAAAGTCTTTACATTAAACAGGAAATGGGAATAAATAAACAGTTGGCTAATAATTCTGACTTCAACAAAACAGCAACTTTAAATTGAAACAATCTTTTGCAACATCACTGTTTAACAGTACTTTGATTAAATAAACAGAATTTGAATATATATATATATATACATATATTATAGTAACATTTAAGGTAACATATTTCAAGGTCTCCTTGTTACATACGTTCCATCTACTAACTGAAGAGTAATGATTTAACTAACCCTAAAAATAAAACCTTAACCTTAATTTATATTACTCCGCAGTTAAACCATAACAAGAACACCTTAAAATAAAGTGCAACCTAGAGTACTGGTGGAAACCAAACATACAATGCTACTGTTTTTTTTAGCATCATTCAGTGACTGCAATATTCAAAATCATATACATTCCATCCTTTAAACTACAGCATTTCCATTGTATAGGTCATAAAACAATGTTACCATGGTTACTCTGTAAATGTACTATATAACCTCCATAGTTTTAAGATCTGCTAAAAGAAGCAGTCAGATTCAACCCAGCATTTATGCATCTCTTTTGTGGTTTAGATGAGAAAGCTGGCACAAACTACAGGGCCAGTTCCTAAAATATACGCCCATTCCCAACAGTCCACATTTATGCAGAGCTGCTATAATGCTGAGAGGCACTGTTATTACACCATAGACCTTCACATAATTTAAGGTTATTAAGATGTACCTCCTCAAACAGGTCACATGTCATACCGTTTGTCCTGAAACTGCTGTAACCACCAAAGACCACCAGGAGGGGATTTTATGGGCTTTTAAATTTTAAACGACTGTGTGTGAAAAACCTTCAGCCGCTGTAAGTCTTGGGAGTTTTGGGCACCTGAATGGCAGTTCTTTTGTGCCTCACCGAGAGGCAGTGTTTTTTTTATAACTGTGCTGTTCTGTTTTAATGTCTGGCTTTTTTATACTCATGGCATTTACTCAGTAAGTGCTCATTGTGGTGCTGAGAACAAAAAGAAAGCTTGAGCTCACGTTACACACTCTTTAAATGCGTTTCGACCTCTTTCTTTAACCGGTTTCTGTGTGGCTACAGAATAAGCAACATGTAGCTTCCCTAAAAGAGTTACAATATTACACAGAGCACGCAGTGATTCCTGTGTTAGATGAGGTGATAGAGCACTAATATTGAGTCTTACATTCCTTCCATGCTTTGAGGCAGAAGAGTCATGCAGCTCTTTTTTGTGTTTGTCTGAATAACATGGGCTCAGTGCCTGCAAATAAACCCTTGGTCCCTCTATTGACCATTTCTTTTAAGAATGAATGAATGAACAAACGCTGTTCCTACAAACACTGTAAATGTTCCCTGTGGTTTTAAAAGGTGTGAAAAGAAAGTGTATGTGGCGTAACTTGGGCCCCGTTTACACTAATGTGCATTAGTTTTAAAATGCATAACTTTTTGCAGTTACACTACCTTGTAGTTTTTGTCCCCTGAAAATTACTTTTTTTCTTTTTTACTTTTATTTATTTATATTTATTTATATATATATATATATATATATATATATATATATATATATATATATATATATATATTTATATATAAAACATAATAATAAAAAAACTAAAAATAAAAAAAACCTTGCAGAGGCCATTTAATTTTGGTTTTGTTAGCTGGTGCGCCATATCAGTGTGGACAAAGAAAAAAAGAGGACATTTGAAAACTGAGGGCTGGCAAGCGACATGCACTCCCTGATGGGGTCTTTTGGGAGATTATACTTCTCTTATTTGTCGAGCATCAATCACATAACCGTAAGGATACTGGAAGATGACAGACCAGTCCTGATGACCTCTGATTACAACATGGACTCGGAAATTTGCATCGTTGTCATTTTTGCGAGCCATTGTGCAGCAGCCAAATGCATAGTGAAGCCTGTTTACACTTGAATGTGCATGGCCAGAGTGTGTATGGTCACCTCATGTATGTTTTCCATGCTATAGTGTGCACAAAGATCTTTTCAGAAATACTAATAGAGAATGGGAATGTTCAATATAATAATGCAATGCATTCTGAATGTTTAGGACAAGGGAGTTTGACTCCTATTGCATTATTCCAAAATGGATAAAATTTATTTATTTCCTTAATTTTACACACAATACCCCATAACTACAGTGTGAAAAAAGATTATTTCAATTGTTGCAAATTTATTACAAATAAAAAAACCTGAAAAATCGCTTATACACAAATATTTACAGCCTTTGCTGTGAAGCTCTAAATTGAGCTCAGGTACATTCTGTTTCCACTGATCATGCTCGAGATGTTTCAAGAGCTTAACTAAAGTTCACCTGTGGTCAATTTAGTTGATTAGACATAATTTGAAAAGGCATACACCTGTCTATATAAGGTCCCAGGGTTGACAGTGCATGTCAAAGCACAAACCAAGAAGACAAAGAAATTGTCTGCAGACCTGCGATACAGGATTGTCTCGAGGCACAAGGCTGGGGAAGGTTACAGAAAATTTTCTGCTGGTCTGAAAGTTCCAATGAGCAAAGTGGCCTCCATCATTTATAAGCGGAAGATGTTTGGAACCCCCAGGACTCTTCCTAGAGCTGGCCGGCCATCTAAGCTGAGTAATCGGGAGAAGGGCCTTGGTCAGGGAGGTGATCAATAACCCGATGGTCACTCTTTCTGAGCTTCAGTATTCTTCTGTGAAGTGAAGAGAACCTTACAGAAGGACAACCATCTATGCAGCAATCCACCAATCTGGTGTGGTAGAGTAGCCAGATGGAAGCCACTCCCCACCTGGAATTTGCCAAAAAGGCATCTGAAGGACTCTCAGACCATCAGAAACAAAATTCTCTGGTCTGATGAGACTAAAATTGAACTCTTGGGAGTGAAAGCCAGACGTTACTTTTGGAGAACCATGCACCGCTTATCACCAGGCTAATACCATCCCTACAGTGGTGGCAGCGTCATGCAGTGGGAATGTTTTTCAGCAACAGCAGCAACTAATTTCAGCAGCAGGAACTAAGCAGTCAGGATAGAGGGAAAGATGAATGCAGCAATGTACAGAGACATCCTGAATGAAAACCTGCTTCAGAGTGCTCACGACCTCAGACTGGGGTGATGTTTCATCTTCCAGCAGGTGAATGACCCAAAGCACACCACCAAAATATTAATGGAGTGGCTTCACAACAACTCAGTGGATGTCCTTGAGTGGCTCAGCCAGAGCCCAGATCTAAATCCTATTAAACATCTCTAGAAAGATCTGAAAATGGCTGTACATTGTCACTTTCCATTCAACCTGATAGAGCTTGAGAGGCACTTGAGAGGAATGGGCAAAAATTCCCAAAGACAGGTGTGCCAAGCTTGTGGCATCATATTCAAAAAGATTTGCGGCTGTAAAAGGTGCATCAACAAAGTATTGAGCGAAGGCTGTGAATACTTATGTACATGTGATTTTTCAGTTTTTTTTTTCTTTTTTATAAACTTGTGACACTTAAAAAAAAAAAATTCACAGTCATTATGGGCTATTGTGTGTAGAATTGAGGAAATAAATTTATAGTTCATTTTGGAATATGGCTGTAACAAAGTGGAAAAAGTAAAGCACTATGAATACTTTCTGGATGCACTGTATCGTATCATATAAACACAATAAACTGTAAGTGCTTAAACTACAAATAATGAAGAGTATCATATCTGGACCTGTTTTCTTGCTGCAGCTCATCGATACCCTGTCAGTTATGGATAACCTTGATCCGCTCTGGATCCACCCCTTCTGCATTTGTGCTCAGCTTCTCTGGTTACACTTCACCATTGGAGACAGAATGTTATGTAAAGCATATTATCAACCTCTTAGACACATAAAGAGACACGTTTATAAATGTAAATAGACGTTAATCAATTTTATTCTGATTGTGAAATGTTATTCATAAAATGTTATAATAAAACACATACATAGTGCACTCCTGTGTTTGTCCATTAACATGGCCGACTGCAACTTGCCGTGACGAATGTTCCCAAACTTTATTGAAACGACAGTAAGAACATAGATTGTTCTGGTTCTAAAATGCAATTTTAGAACTAAAATGAATTAGTGTAAACAGGGCATTACTCTGGGTGGTGCTAGCCTAAAATAGTTAGCCTAAAACCACAAGTACACAAATCTTGCTTCATTTTTAGCACAGTCTGAAATCATTAGCAAAAAAAACATTATCAGCATTATGCATAATCAGCATTATTTTTATGAGCAATTCAGACTGATTCAAAGTGATTCAGTGGTCAAGACTTTCTCAATCATTTATTTTAAAAAAATGGGCTCATGAAAATCTGTTATAATTAATAACTAAAATTAACACAAAAAACAATTTTACTCGTAATTATATACAAAAGTAATGAAATTAAAATAAATATGAACACAAGTAATTCAACTTATCTTAAAAGTTTATAATTTAAAAGTTTTTTCCATTTAAATGAATAAATCTAGAGCATATTACATTTTTGTTCAAAATGACCAAAATATATAGTATGTAATGTATGTATGCGAGTACATCAAGCTTGCATCTTTCAAATGATGTTGTTGTCTTAACCTGAATATGATAAGCCTATAAATAATTAATGTTTATGAATGAGACTATCTCTGATGTGGACTAACAGCAGGGAAAAGAAGCTCTTGCTACAGTGTTCTTTTTAGTGTGCAGTTTCATCTATAACCGCTGGAACAAAAAAAGTGACAAACCGTTCCTTTAAAGCTGTGGTACAGAACTTTAGTCTTATTTGTTACAAACATTACAGTGCAAGTACAAACAGAGTTTTTGTTTGTTTCTTAAAAACAAATCTGTTGTAACAGGATCTGCCACTGTACATTGAGACAACTGTAAGAAGTAATAGGATAATGTTTTTCAGCAGACAAATATTTGTAATAGTTCTCCTACAGAGATATTTACAAAAATGAGAAAAATGAGCATGCACATAATTGCCACTGGTGTTGTTGTTGCCGCTGTATTAAATTGTGATTGTCACTGTAATGCGGTTTCTAATGTGGGCTGATAATTTCATAAAATATACAGACTGAAAGTTTGCACAAATACACTACAGCCCCATTTTCAGATTTATCCACTCTGGGTCCCAAACTGCCTGTTCTGTCTGAACAAAATACATGTATGATAAAGTTTATATATATATATATATATATATATATATACAGGGCTCGAAATTAACTTTTTTATTTGGTAGCACCGGTGCTCCCAACTTCAAAAATTTAGGAGCACCAGAAAAAATTTAGGAGCACCCACCAAAAATGATTGAGCACCGCTGCAAATTGTATTTTAAGGGACTTATTGTATTTTAAAACAACATTAATTAGGACTAACAAAAACCAGAAACAACTATCTAATGCTGAGATGACATTGATATTTGTGTGCAATAATTCCAAAATGTGTATGTATTATAATTCTAGAATATTAATGATGATGAAAATGACAATAATAGTAACAATGAATTACATTTCTCATCATCATGCTGCCTTGAATGTGCTTGAATGCAAGTTATCTGCTATAAAAAGTCTGTTACTTTATGAAAAATAAATGTATAGTTTGCATCAAACAAAAATGAAGCATTGCAGTAAGAAATATTTATTTTGTACTGCTAAACAGCATATATATGCATGTCAGTTTAATAAATAATATTTCTGCTGCAAAACAAACAAAAGATTATAATAAAATATTAAATTCAAGGCTGAAAGCTGCAAAACAGTCATCAGTAGCCTAACTAAATTAAAAAAATAATATACACCTCAAGAAAGAATAGGCAAAAGAAAGTAAGTAAAGTCTCACTTCTATCACTCTTTAAAAGTTTTGGTTTCAGTTTGTGTCAATTTAAATGTTCCGTCTGAGCTGATTTTCATTTTTCTGTGTTTGTGGAAAAGCAGGCGAGTCAGCCGACCCAATTTATGAGCAGGTTGACCATCGGCGCAATACCGCTGTTTGTTATGAGACGCAGTTTCAGTGTAAACTTAGTAAAGGCGAGCTTCTTTGGCGATGATACAGTATTAGATTTGACTTTTAGCGGACATTTGCGCTGAACACGCAGTGAATGCGACGCATGATGATTCGGGCACCTTCTCCAAGAAGCGCGTACTCGATTGATCTCAGCTGGCGGATCAATATTCACCACGTGTCATGATCGCTCTCATCTGCGCCTCAACTTTAGGTGGGGTTTGCACTTTGCAAACCTGCGTGCTTTAAGTTTTCACTCTTTAGCCGTTTGCATTTCCCGTGGACATAAAAGCTCCCTCCCTGTCATCTAACAGTGAAAAGCCTTGGGTGATTGACAGCTAATATGAACCAATATAGCGGCAGGGAAGAGCGATTCAGCACGTTTAAAAAAAAAAAAAAAAATCAAAACAGGTCGCACTAATGCGCCCAAATTTACTATGAGGTCGCATCGATTCATTTTCGGGCGCATATGCGACCAAAATGGTCGCAATTTCGAGCCCTGATATATATATATATATATATATATATATATATATATATATATATATATATATATATATATCAGTATCTGAATATAACAGTATCTGAAATATAAAGGAGTTTAATTTACAGGTCAGTGGCTCTTAAATGGATAGATCAACCAAAAATGAAAATTCTGTCATCATTTACTCACCCTTTAATTGAACCACTTTTAGTTTTTTTGTTTTATTGAGCACAGCAGAAGATGTTGAAAAATCTTGGAAACCTGTAACCATTGACTTCCATAGTATATGTTTTTCCTACCATGGATTAAATAGTTACACAGGTTTCCAGCTATCTTCAACATACCTTGAAAAAAAATCTCAAACTGTTTCACAACAAGTAAAGGGTGAGTACATGATGACAGTATTATTTCAATTTGGAGCGATCTATCCCCTTACTTGCTTTTCATTTATTCAGCCTTTGCTCACTGATTATTTTCAGAAATATCAGTTAGGATTTGTATGTAATCTATATTCATTGGATCAAGTCAAGAATTAATTCAAACACAAACTATAAATCAGAATCAAATTCTGGATTAAATACCAGCTCCTTTTATTTTTTTCATTTAAGAGTAAAAATCTACTTTACTTTCTGGTGCTGTTTTTTTTCCAACTGAATTGATTTTACACTGGTAAACGTAATATTTCTGTTAACATGGTTGTTTTGACCACTGGGAAAGCAACAATGGTGTCATTTAACTGGATATATGCAAGTCCGAACAAGTATTTCATATGACAGTTAATGTTTTAAACTCATAATGGCAGACCCCCTCGTTTTTTTGCGATTCCGTGAAAAAAAAAAAAAAATAGTGAAAAACTTGATTCTGATAATATATGGGATATGATTCATCTACAATAATGATTCTCCAGTTATTACTGCACTGTACTTACTTATTGCACATCAATGAATACAAACTAATTTCTAAAATTATATTCTTCAAAGAAAAAAAATTCTGCTTGAGTTCAACCAGAAGCAGAGATGCAAGGCCCCACACAGAATCTGCGCCCACAGACCTCCACTGAAAATACCACAGAATTGCCATGCTTGTCATTCACAAAATTACTATCATTCCTTGCCACATTGAGCGTTCATTTATTATTATTTTTAGCTAATGAATAACTTTACTATCCTTAAAGTAATCAAGTAAAGTTCTGATACTGTCACTATGAAAACATGAATGAAATATGCCAAACCAGCTTGCTGTTTGACATGCAGCCCACTGCTGCTGACCCGAGACCTGATTTAATGCTCTACGCATATTAGGAAACCCGATACTAAAAAAATGCAAACGGAGAAGACTCACATGTTCTCGCATTGCCATCTCCACGGTGGGGGACATCATGATGACACAGGTCACCGTGACCAGCATGAAGAAGAGGGCGTACATGAAGCGTGTGGAGGTGGACTGTTTGATCTTGGGACAGCAGCCGCAGCACAGCGAGCAGGCCGCCGATCCACAGCAGCAGGCCAGCTGCAGAAAAACAGCACATATTACAGCTCACAAACCATTACAGTCTTTTACAATCAAATAAATGCATTTTAAAGCACTTAAAAAAAACAGAGACACAGAGAACATGCTTTAATTATTTACATAACATATAATAAACAATCTATAAATTGCAGTTAAAATAAACCAATGTAATGTTTGTAATGTAATGTCAAACTGAGAAGATGGATTGAGAGCGGCTACAAAGATCCTATTGGTAGTTGTGTCCTTTAGCAACACAAATGCCTCATTCTTATTGGCTGTACGCAGTACTACAGCTGGGCTGTTACTATGAAGCAGCTTGAATCACATGATGCAAGACACAGACATAACAGGAGGCTCTGAGATCAGTGCTGATACAGTAAAGGAACAAATGTCTTTTGAAATCTCTTTTCCTACGGTTTCCTGCAGACAAGATTGTGCAAAAAAATGAAAGAAAGGTCGAAGGACATTTTGTTTAGATGATGCCATGTCTATAAAATATGACAAACTGAAACAAACATTCATACTCTTATTTTTTTTTTATTTTTTATTTTTTACACATAGTCAAGCCTGACATGTAAACAAATATATATATATATATTTAATTTATACAGCTTAAAACATTTTCACACAAGTTCTTGCACATTTGAGTAAATGTATTATTATTTTTAATAGCATAACGACTATTATACAGGTTTCTACATACAGTTTGTCTTTTTCCGTTGCTGTTAAATATTTTTATTTGAACTGACAAATAACATCATTGTGATGTTATGTTTTAGAATAAATTGGGTCATACTTATTTTGATGGTCTGTTTGTTGAATTGAATTTACATTGCATTCACATGCCAACTAATTTTCGTTAGATTATAAGTAGATTGTTAGGTTGGGGTTAGGGTCAGTGTAAGTTAACATGTACTTGCAAAGTTTCTTATAGTCAGTTAAATGTCTACTAATACTCAAAATAAAGGGTTACCAAATTATGTAAACTATCACTGCATATAAAATGTAATTTTGTACTAATTAAGTAAATAAGCTAAGCAAACCTAAGCATATTTAAGAAATTACATAAAAAGAAAGTAATATAAATTCTAATATCATTATATCATTATATTAATATTGCCTTAAAATAAACTTCACGTTCATATAATGAGTTCATAGATTTTAGGAACACTGGTCTAGAAAGCACTAGAAAGCTAAATGTTCAGTGTCTAATACATGTTGAGCTTGTGCACATTTGACCACTTCCAGAGGTAGTCAAAAGCACATTTGTTCAGAATGCTTTTGTAAATGCTCATGTGGTTCAATGCTTTTAAGCAGCCATAACAGCACAACTCTCTGCAGTGCATTCTGATCTAATACAAGACTGTTATGGGACATGTTTTGGCAAAGTGAATGTCTTCAACACTGAACTAAAAAAGATTATGATTCAAACTGCAATGGCCATTCTCATCCCTTACTGTATATTCACATGGGTTTTTTTCATTCAAACATAATAGTCCTCTGCATTAAATACTCCAGAAAAGGTGACATAATTGCTTTCAACAAAATCTAAAGTTGCCTCAGGAGATGAATTTGAATACATGTTAATACCAGAAGCAAACGATAATGCATTAGCTGACGGCTTGAGTGATGAAACCGCATGCTATGCTTCTCAAACTTTCTTGGTCACACCCTTGGTTAAAGATAGAAAAACTAAATCTGTCACCTACCCTGTTTTAATTTGATGATAATTTAATAATTGATAATTTGATTTGTTTCAAATTGTAAAAAAAATGCAGTTAATGAAACACATTAATCATCATAAGAAAGAAAAATATGCAAGATCTTTTTTAATAAACATTTTTGTGTAATCTGGCAAGTAATTTCAAAGGCCAGAAGTCTAATGGGGAATTAAAAGATGGTTCTGCTCACAAGATTTTAGATTTTGAGGTAGAATATTGATGCAGCAATTCGGATAAATAGTTGGTTGAAAACTCATTCGACCAAATTGCTATGTGTGAACACCTTTGTTGAACACCACCTTCTCTCTGCCCGTCAGCTCATTCATAAACAGCAGGATTCGCTGCTGAAACATGCCGAAGAGACAGATTAGCCTTAGGATCTGTATCAGAGGTGGAAAAAAATGTACAGGGTAGAAGGTTCTCTAAGCAGTCCCAATTAATATATTAATAAAAAATCTTATTTTCAAAATACATTCATATTACATACATAAATACATATTTTACTGCAAATGAGATTTCTGAAACAATATGGCCGTTTCATCTTTAAACTGAAGATCTCGCAGCCCCTGTGAACTGCTGTTTTTCATGAGACACAAATTTCAGAATGTATTAGTTAATGTTTATTCTGAGTAATGTTTTGAAATCATTTTATTGTATTCAAAGCAACATTTAGGAATGTGAAAACTTGATATTACTTTCAATCTTCACTTTGCGATGTTTACTACAGTCAAGGCTGAAATTTTTCATACCCCAGGGGGAACACTTTGCATGTCAAAACTGATAATGAGAATAAAGTGTCTAGGTCTATAACATAGCCCATATGAGTTGATCAGAAATAAAAGAAATCAATTGTTTTTTAGTCATTACATAACATAGCTTATCCTTAAAGTGTGTTAAATTGATCTGGGACTTTTAATAAAAAATGTTTATATTTTTGTAAATCATGAAAATTGTGCTAGCTTTTGCAGTATTAAACTAAAAGTTCAGAGAAAGCAAAGACCACCCCATAGACAGAAAAGTGGATGAAAATGAACAAACTCTTATATCCGTTTGCCATTTACTTTTATTTATTTATTTTTTTTCAGCTGATGGCCCGCAATGTGCCCCCCACTTTGAGAATCACTGTGTTAAAGGGAGAAAACAGGGCCTCTGTGACAAGACAAAGATCAGAGGAATCACAGCAACAATCTCCAACAATCAGAAGAACGCTTCCCCCTCTCCAGACAACAGGTGGTCAACATGTACGAACCCAACCCATTCCTCCACCGCACCATGATCAACCCTAGGGGAGCAGGACACAAACAAACCATCCCCCATCCCCTGCCCCGGAGACACTTCTCAACCCCCTAAAAAGAGCCCTTTTTTAACCCTCTCCCGCAACCAGCAGGGGTCTGGGTGAAAGGTGACGATCCCTGAGTGAGGACAATAACCTGGACATTGTTTTCCTAACAATGGCTTGGGAATTTCTCGAGCTCATCATCAGAAAGCATGTGGAGGGGTTTGAAGAATGTGGTGGTATAGCAAGCAGATTTGTGTCTGCTCTGAAAGCTATTAGAGAACTGCTGGGTGCTAAAAAAAAAACAACACTTATATTTATTTCCTAGAACAAAACATCAGCAAGTCAGCCCAGGTTGTGCAGTGATTTAGAAGTCTGCAAACACAGTCTGCTGTGTACCTTTCAGTACTAACTAAAGCTCTTGCTAGATTAAAGCCTTATTATCTCCACAGTGTAGAAAGCATCGAAAAACTGAACAAAAAAAATACTGACTTCTGGGTTCTATGGTAGCCACACTCTAAAAACCGCTGTGTAGTTGTAATCCAAAGTTGAGTCAAATGTGGAAAGATTCAGCCAACATTCTGACCCAGCATTAGGCTACAACAACCTAGTATTTTTTGAGTGATTGTATGCTTCTAAAACAGGAAATGAAAAAATACAATGAGCCACTTGACACTATGACACTTGATAGTCAAACAAATAATCAGATTGAGTTTAAAGCGATCCTGGTTAATGTTACAAATGGCCAAGAGCATAAAAACATAGCTATACTGATATATTTCACTGAGCTCAAGTACTATCAGTTTCGAAACTCGTCAGACAATTATCCTATAGTCTCCATGTCATGAATAGCTGCTTTGTGGGTCTGCTTGCCAGGCAATTGTACAGCTGAGGCAAAAATGTATTACTTCACTGTTTGAAGTGTACACAAAAAAAGTGCTCTTTTGTGAGATGGGAACAGTAGCCATAGTAACACCGAAGTGTCGAACCTTCCCTACTATAATTGCACTGCACTGAACGTTGATGGATGGATGGCGATCGCTTGACAGCTTTTTCAGTTGCAAATACAGAGTCATCCAAAGGCTCAAGGGACAAGAGTAAACAACCTCTAAAATGGTAATTGGAGAGTAAAAGAGATGCGTAAAAGCTGTGTGAAATTCACAAGGGTGAGAATGTCTCACTACTACGCACAAAGTCAACACAGATAGTCCTGGCACAAATGCCACCTTTCAGCTGTAGAGAAAAGTCACTAGCTGAGGTATGTGTAAAAATTCACAAATGTCCTTTAGCTCAAATGGTAGAGCATGACAATAACAATGGTCACCGGCAAGGCTGTGAGTTTAATTACCAGGTAAAACAAGATGAAGCTCATAAAATGTGTTAAATGTGCAATAAAAAGTTCCTTTTTGAATAAAAAAGTATTTGGACACAACCCCTAAACGCAGAGATTTTCAAATATAGGGTGTAAATGTATGGTGTATTGTATGATTTTAAAATAATTGAAGGAAACACACACTATCTACTATCAATAATTATTTATTAAACATCAGTGTTGAACAACTGAAATTAAAACACACTTTGCCTAAAACGAACAGTTACTTTTTTCTTATATAAATTTTAGATACAAATTTAATTATTTTCAGTACTTTTCATATTAATAATCAGTATCTCTTCTAAATAAAATAACTCCTGTATACCCTGTAATAAATTGTTTAAACATAGCATTTCTTGCATCTTCTGTAAACAAATATTTTAATGTAAATAAATTATTAATTTATTAAGGGTGTCACGATCCTCCAAATCCTCGATTTGATTACATTTTCTATTCTAAAGTTACGGTTCGAAGAAAAATTAAACAAAAGTCAAACAAATCATACAGTAAATGAATAAAGATAAGTTACACACATAATTGCCACCTGTCAATCACTTTTTCTGTGGGACTCGTGAATAGGCAGTAATCTGTGTCCTTATAATGGCGTCGGTAAAAAAGGTCAACAACAGAG